CTCCTTGAGGTCGTCGTCGTCGTCCTCGAACTCGTGGTTGAACTTGCGCCGCGAGATGAGGAACGCCATCTGCTTCTTCACCAGCTTGTCCTGGGCCGACCGCCCAGCCGGGGGGGGGCGCGCCGAGAGAGGAGGGCGGGGAGGGGCAAGGGGGGGAGGAGGAGGGCCTGGGAGAGGGAGCGGGGGCAGGAGGGGGGGAGGGGCCAGAAAAGGGAGGGGCAAAAGGGCAGGACCAGCACAGCACGCAGATGGAATGATGAGCTCGAGTGTCTCTGCCCGCCTAGCTGAGCAGAGCTTTCTTAGGCTCCCAGACGACTTGGGCCAAGAGCAATGTGGGTCGCAAAATCATCGGCGAACCTGAAATGCCTTCAGGGTGCCCACCCTCCAGAGCACGCAGTAATTGCAGGGCCCTGCCGTTGTTAGGGCACCCCCTCGGGCAATCCGTGCGAAAGCCTCGGGAAACAGATTCGCTGAAAAAACGCACGCGCGGCGGAGCAACACGCTCAAAGGTACATCCTCATCCAGATAGCCGAGATAGTGAGTAGATGTCATCATCTCAAGGGTTGACACCTGTGACTGGATCAAGGAGAGGGCCGTCGCACTGGTGCCGGCGGCGCTCGGCGAAGCCAAGGAGGCGTTCCCCGACGAGGGCCTCCCGCAGCCAGACTGGGTCTTTGCGCAGGAGACAGGCCTCCAGCAGGTCAGGCGATGGCACGACGAGCGGGGCCATGACATCGGCCTCACGGCAGGAGAGGCCACTGGAAAAGCAGCCGTAGCAGCACCAGTAGGCATCGGGCTCGGCGCCGTGAGGCGGCGGGCCACGGCCACCCACAATACCGACTACATCCAGCCGCATAGGGCGCTGCCGGACCATCCTGGTGAACGACAAAGTTGCGATGGACACCACCACCATGCACCTGCGCGACGGGGAAGCAACTCCGACATTGTCTGGAATCCTGCCTCTGGTCCCCTCCTTGCCACAGAGCAGGCCACACGCAGGCAGCGGCCCTCTCCGAGCTGGACTTCGCGGCAACCAGCACGGCGCTCAAAATGCACATCCATGCACACGGGCCCATCCTCAGTGCGCCAGGGGGCCCACGACCCCCTACTCTTCGGGCGGCGCGAGCTCAAGGAGAACAAGTATGTCCAGCAGGTCAAGAAGGTTCCAGGCTCACGCCTTCGACAGGCCGATTGGTTACCAACCTGAGCCAACAGCAGGACTCACCTAGGATTGACCAAGTGGCACCAGGCCCCCAGAGCCAGAAGCAGCCATGCGACAGTGGGTTCACAACAGCAAAGAGCTCCTTGCCAAGTGCTTCGGGAAGTACGGCGACGAGGGACTCCGGATCAAGAGCAGGGACCTCGGGCTCCAGCTGCAGCAGGTCAGCCTGCAGCGCGCCGCCAACAGGAGGCGGTCGCAGCTGTGGCACCCGAAGACGCACCAATTGGGAAGCTTCGTCAGCATGATCCAGCGGCTAACCATCACCAAGTTGAAGCTCGTCAAGCTCAAGGCCCACTGCAGCCTCCGCAGCAGGCACCAGCAGCCAGGGCTGACCTCAGCCACCTCCTCAGGGGGGAACCAAAGCATCGACGGCATCCTCACCTACGCGCAGGACACGCTGCTCCAGTTGCAGAGGGCATACGCAAGCGCGACTGGGCCAATGGGAGCGCGGTCCAGAACGGGGGCAAGCTGGCTCACCGTTTTGCCATGCCCAAGCCACTCACCGAGGCCGCGATCCACAGCCCCGCGGACGATGAGGCGGCGGGCGCTTCCGCTCAACGGCGACGAGGCTGCACAGTAGCTGATCGTTGGACACCCCTCTGGCAGGACGCCAAGAAAGCAGGGGGGGAGCAGATGCCACGACGTGGAGCACAACCGACATCCTCCGCTCCCTGCAGGTGGCCGACACGAGGGGCGCCCTCAAGGGGCACCACGGCAGGTGGCCAGGCCTTGGGCGAAACCCGACTCCACCCCAGGCACCTTCGGCTCTTCGACGACGATTACCTCTAGAGGCTCCTGTCCAACCTCGAGGGCTGGGAGGACCAGGCGAGAGCCCACCGTGACCGGCCCGCGCTCATAGAGATCAGGGCCAAGCCGGACGGCGGGCGCAGGCCCATCGGCCGCACAGGCCTGCAGATGCGCCTTGGGGCGCCGCTCAGGGGCAGAGAGGTCAGGACCTGGGAGGAGAACCACAACGAGGGCTGGTTCCTGGGGACCTCCGACTGCACCTGCGAGCGGGCAGGCTGGGCCCACCAGGACATCACGGCCTCTGACCGCGAGATGTGCTTCAGCTCAGGCTCAGCGCCGGGGGGCCTTTGAAAGAACAACGAGAACATCAGCCACGCCGAGCTGAAGGTCGAGGCGGAAGCCACAGGCTTCAATATCAAGCTGCTTAAGTAGGCCCTATTGCGCGCTTTACGGGGGCTACAAGGTCATCACCCTCGACCAAGCCTGCATCGACGTCTCAAGGTCAACGGGGCGGTGTTGGCAGGGAGTTCGTGCGCGACGGGGCTCGCCGAGTTCCTGCTTCACCGCCCCTTCAAGAAGGCGGCAGCGAAGCACGTCAACGTCAGGCTCGGCAACGCAATCGACGACTGCACCCTGCTTTGCATTGGCCGCCAGGAGGTCGCGACTTCATCCAGAACACGAAGGAAAAGAGGGACACATTCCGCATGGGCAAGCTCTGCCACGTCACGGAAGACACGAATCTGGCCACAGCCGTCGAGGAACGCTGGCGAGGCGACAACGGCGGCAAGGCCATCAGCGGCAAGAGCCTCGGCTGCAACATCCACGACGGGAGGTGGAGGGCAATCAGCACGGCAGCGGCGAGGGCCCCCTAAGCAGGACCCGAACAACGAGGCCGCAACGCCTTAAGGCAGCAAGCGCGAAGGTCGCCCTGGCGCAACGGGGAGGCCCCACGGCCGCAGCCGCACGGGGATCAGAGTCCACCAGTCTGGCCCCAAAGGCGCCGCACGGCCTCTGGGTTTCAGCAGCCAGGAACGGGGGCAACCTTGCAGCAGGGGCTTCGCCAGGGCTCCAGCCCCACTGTTTCCCCGAGGATCTCGCGAGAGACCCACCAGTCAACAACGATGGACTCTCGATCAAGGAACACACGGCGTGCTCATGGCACAGCTACCCCGCGAAGCTCGTCATAGACACCCTCACCACCAAGGCCGACGGCTTGCTGCAGCGGGCCCAACTGCCACGGGCACAGCGCAGACACCAAGTAGTTGCAGCTGCGCCGGCTGTGGACAAGCTGGAATGGGAGCTGCAAGACACCAGGCACATCACCCCTGACAGCGGGCAGCAGTTCGGCCTCCCGGGGATACCCCGATCGCCGGCCCAGGAGCTGGCAATCGAGTCGGCCAAATGGTGCTCAGACTAGACGGCCATCGCCCACCAAGCGCGCGTCGCGGCCGCCACCCTCGCGCGCGGCCCCACCCCAGCCACCGCGCCCACGTCGAGCGCATCCACGGCGAACCCCCTGGCGCCCTTACCAAAATTCACCAGAGTGGAAAACTCACCCATGCTCGTCATCCGCGGGAGCATAGCAGCGCCTGCGCGCTCAGCGGCCCGCCCTCCCCCGCGAGGAGGAAGCGCAGGTCCATGCTCGGCAATCGCCTTGTCCTCCTCCTCCTCCTGCTCGAATGCCTTCGGCGGCGCGCCGTCGAGCCACCCCCCGCACCAGGTCGCGCAGGCGACGCCGAGGGTGGACTGCACCAGAGACCGAGCGGGCCTGTCTAAAACGTTCGAACTAAGCGGTTGCGGACCGAGCGACGACGTCCGCAGCTCGGCAGAGCGATGGCGACATTCTGCGCGGCCCCGAAGCCCCGCCCGCCTGTCATAGGACTCCCCCCTCCAGCGCAACGACGCCCTTCCCTGCCAGGGCCCCCCCTGCCCGCGGCGGGCGGAGGAGCCACGGGCGGGACGGGTCTTCGACGCGGGGACGCCCACCAATCGACGGGGGTTCGGGGCAATCCCGCGGGCACGCTGAAAATATTTTCACCTGGGCGCGGCCGTCCTCTGTCGAGTCTAGACTCTCTCCAGCGCCTGCACGGGCGGCGCCCCAGGGCCGCGCCGCGGCTGGCGACCCGTCAGCACGCGAGCGCGGCCCCCGACAAGCTCGCGCCCGAGGTCCCCGTTGCTGCTGGCACCCTTTTGGCTGCTCTGCCACTGGGCTGGCGCGCTCCTGTCCCGAACGGGCACGTGGAGCCTGCCGCCACCGGTGCCCCCCTCAGTCAGCTGCTTTTCCCGGGCGGTCTCTTCGGACCCATCGGAGCTAGAGGAGCTCCCCGTCCGAGCCCTCGCCCTCGCTCTTCGCGGCTACCGTCGCCATCTGCACCCCTGGCAGACCACGTCGCACTCCTTCGGGCATGGCACATCGCCGAAGAATGCCGAGCTCAGCGGTGCCATGCCGGACACCCAGCCAGCCCCCGATGTGTTAGAGTCTGGCCACCTTGCGCTTCTTCGCGCACAGGATGAGACAGTTGCCGACCTCCTCGGCGCCCTTGCTCTCGTGGGGGGGGGGCTGCCGCTCTCCGTTGCCAGTCTGAACGTTCGTCCAACTGCCGTCGCCAACACTGTCACGGCCGTCCTCTGCCCCCGGCACCCTTCGCGGGGGCGTCGCTGTCCCCGTCGGTGGTGCGGCGTCTTCCACAATTCAATCTTCGACGGCGGCCTCCAGGGCTGCCGCCCCCCACGGCAACCCCTCGTGGTTTTCGGGCGCCGCGGCCAACCCACCGGCGCAGGCCTCGAGGGCAGCGTTGGTCTCAGCCGCCACGCTCGCCGCCTTCTACATCGAGAATGTCTTCTTCAATACCAGCCAAGTGGGCAAGTCTGGACTGGCCGCCGCCTCGCCCAGCTCCACGAGGGCCTCCCCGGAACGCAACACCTCCGCGAACCGCTGCTGCAGCGTATTGACGACCGCGCGGCATGTCCCCGCGTAGGTGTCCGCACCTTCCGGCGACCACCTGCCCAGGTAGTCGCGCTCGTTCTTCAGAATCCCCACGCCAGCCACGGCCGAAAGGATCGTCGCCCGCCCCCCGCGCTTTGTCCAGAAGTTCCCGACCTCGGCGGCGAGGAGCTCGACCCATTCGCCCGCACGGGCCGCTGGCTTCAACATCCGACGGAACCCTCCTGGCCCGCTTCCGCTGCCTGCGCGCACCCGGCGGGCTTGCGGACCACCTTCAACCCCGCGTCGCCGCACCGCGGCTGAAAGTGGTTCTTCCCGAAGTCCGCGATCTCCTGCCACAGGTCGAAGCCCGTCTGTATCTATGCTGGGCCCAGCATGTAGCGCTCACGGGATACCACGAAGCAGTTTTGACATTTTGCGCCCCGATCTGATAATCATCGCGCGCCCCAGCGCGGCCGTCAGCCCCCCACCCACGACGGCGAGGAGTTGTGGCGGGAGACAGCTGTGGTCGTCGTAGCGCAGCACTGCCCACACCCTGAGGAGGCGCAGCCACACCACCCCGCGAAGGCACCGCGCGAGGCCATCGTCCATGACCACCCGCTCCAGGGCCCCGATGAACGCGCTGGGAAACCGCGCTGCCCTCGACGTCGGGCCATTGGCCACACCAACAGGCATCTCCACGTTCGCGACGACCTGCTGGGGCAGGCCCATGGGCGATCTTCGAATGGCTGCCGCGCGCGCGCGCGACACCCGGCAAACCCTCGGCCACGAGGGCTGGTCTCAACGGGAAGCTAAGACCCTGTCTTCTGGAGCCCGAAGACTTGGATGGGCCCAGAGGACGAGGAGTACAAAAAGGGAGGGAGGACGGGGAGGGAGGGAAGGAAGGAAAGGAGGAAAAGGAGGGAGCGAAGGAAGGGGGGGAGGAGGAGGAGGAGGAGGAGGAGGAGGAGGAGGAGGAGGAGGAGGAGGAGGAGGAGGAGGAGGAGGAGGAGAGGAGGAGGCGGAGGAGGAGGACGAGAAGGAGGAGGAGGACGAGGAGGAGGAAGCGCGAGCGAAAAAGGGAGGAATGAGGAGCGAGGAGCGACAAGCCGAGAAGGACGGAGCGGGGAAGAAGGCGACGACGAAGAAACGGTGCAGGAACGAAAGGGGGAAAGTTGGGAGATTGATAGGGGAAAGGAGGATGAAAGAGGTCGCCTCCTCCGCCTCCTTTTCCGTCTCCTCCTGCCTGTTCCCCCCCCGCTCCTCGCAGGACGCGAACACGTCAGTGACGAGCTTGCTGTCGTTCAGCTTGAGGGCGATGCGGAGGGCATTTGGGTACTCCTGCAGAAGAGCAGCACCAGCAACACCAGCAGCAGGGAGGGAGGGAGGGAGGAGGGAAGGGGAGGGGAGGGAGGGATGAGGGAACGAGGGATGGGAAGGGGGCAGGAGGAAGAAGGGTCGGTGATGCGCAATGAAAGAGGAAGGGAGGCAGGAGGGGGAGAGGCAGGGGTAAGAGGAGGGAGAGAGGGGAGGGAAAGGAGGAGAAGGAAGAGGGGCAGCAGCACAGGGGCAGGAGGCAGGGAAGCAGGGGGAGCAAGGGGGCATGAGAAGGAGGAGGAGAAACAGGAAGAGCGGGAGGAGAAGGAGGAGCACGAGGAAGAGGATGAGCACGAGAAGGAGGAGGAGCAGGAGGACGAGGAGGAGGAGCAGGAGGAGGAGGAGGAGGAGAAGCCGAAACCTTGAACTTCACGTACAGGTTGCAGCAGACCTGCGGGCGCCCTCGAGCCCACTCTCCTCCAGAGCCCCGCCACCTCTTACCCCGGCAGCAGTCACACATTGAAGGGGCCCTGGGACACAAACAAATACACACAAGTACCCCAGTGCGACCCTACCTAGAAGTTGGAGCCCCTAGGAAAGCAGCATTAGTTGCTATGCTATGCTATGCCATACCATGCCATGCTATGCTGCGCTGTGCTGCGCTATGCTATGCTATGCTATGCTATGTTATGCTATGCTAGGCTATGCTATGCTATGATATGCTATGATATGCTATGATATGATATGCTAGGTTGCGCTATGATATGATATGATATGATATGATATGATATGCTAAGCTATGCTATGTCATGCTGCGCTGTGCTATGCTAAGCTATGATAAGATATGATATGCTATGATATGCTGCGCTATGATATGCTGTGATATGGTTTGCTATGCGGCGCTATGCTATGCTATGCTATGGTATGATTGGCTATGCTATGCTATGCTATGCTATGCGAATGCAGCGCTGTGCTATGCTAAGCTAAGCTAAGCTAACTCTCTAGGCAGAGTCTAGGTAGGGAACTACACCCATGTTAATATGCTGTGCTGCGCTATGCTATGCTATGATGTGCTCTGCTATGCTAAAGCTCAGCGAAGCTAAGATGAAGGTAAGCTAAGCTAATATAAAACTGAGGTAATATGAAGCTAAGCTAAGGTAAGATGAAATAAGCTAAGCTAAGATGAGATAAGCAACGCGAAGCTAAGGGAACGTCACTGGGGGAACCGCGGGGCGGATGCCGGGGGAACCGCCCGGGGCGTGCCCCACTGCCCGGCCCTTTAAGCAAACAGAGTAATAACCCTTCTAGGCAGAGCCTAGGTAGGGAAATCAAAGGATTCCCCATATTTTCCCATAGTTTCTGGGTTTCTGTCTTCCCGCCCACTTCCCATATTTTCCCATATTTTCCTGGGGATCGACGATCAATTGTGTCTGTGTTTTTTTCCCCCTCCTGACACATGTTTTCCCTCGAGCGGCAAAGTGACTGCACCGTCGCGAATCGCTAAGCCAGGACACGCTTTGCCGAATTTCCACCTCGCATATAGCAGGACAGGTGGGTGGACTGGATGGCGGCAGTCGCTGGCGGAAAAAGCCGAGAACACGAGCGCACCCAGAAGATGCCGCTGCGGTCATGCACACGCGGGGGTTTGCCGATCTCAAGCAAATGGACGGGGAGGGGACAAAACCAAACAAAAACAAAAAACAAAAAACAAAAAAACTGAACACCCTCTCTCTCTCTTCTCACTCACACAAACACACACGCGCGCGCGCCCCAACACACACACACACACACAGACACACACACACACACACACACACACACACACGCATGCACGCACGCACGCACGCACGCACGCACGCACGCACGCACGCACGCACGCACGCACGCACGCACGCACGCACACGCACGCACGCACGCACGCACACACACACGCACGCACGCACGCACGCACGCACGCACGCACGCCACGCACGCACACACACGCACACACACACACACACGCGAACCCTACCCTACCCCCCAACGATTTCTGAGGGGGGGTGTGGGGTTCACTTCGCTCGGGAGCTCCCAGACGAAGTGAACCCCACCCTCCCCCTCAGAAATCGTGGGGGGTAGGGGTAGGGTTCGCGTGTGGCCCCCTAGCCATAACCATCTGGGCATCGACGACGGAGAGGGGGCGTGAGCAGACGAAACGACGGTGGGGTGGAAAGTGCCATGAGCCAACCGGGACTGGAAGGCGGGAAAAGAGCGAGCTGGCAGGGTGGACCGAGAAGGAAGACCAGTGCACGAGAGGGAGAGACGGAGCAGGCGGCGAGCCGCAAAGAAAAAAGTCGCAGGCAGACGGAGCCGCGAAAGCCAGCGGAGCCGGGCGGCGCGCCGGCGGCGGCGGCTGGGAGGGCGGTCTCTGAAGGAGCGGCCAGGGCCAGCCCGGCGAGAGGGGGGAGCAGTGAGCAGCACATGACACACACACACACACACACTCTTGCGCTGGAGCCGTCGAGCTTCTCACCTCTTCCGCTTCCCGCCATTGCTCCTCCCCTGCCCCCTCTCCAAAACATTCACTTCCCCCTCATGCGTTCTCCTTTCCCGCCCGTCCCTCCTCGTGCCTACGCACCCTTCTCCAGCCCACTTCCATCCGCCTCCCCCTCAGCCCCCACCCCTGTTTCTTCTCCGCCTTCCCATCCCCCAAGCCTCCACACCCCGCCCATCCTGCCTCCCCTCCTGCATTTCCTCCATCCCTCCCTCTCCAACGTGCCTTCATGCCCCCTCCCCTCCCCTCCCTCCCTTGCCATGGCGTGCTCGCTCGAGCGTGCCCCTTCGCGCGCGCGCGCCCAAGAGAGAGCAGGCCAAGCCACGCCGCCTTCAGGTATACCACCTTGTCTGCCTGCAGCACGCGCTGGGGGGTGACAGGAGGCCACCAGGCGGCTCCAAGGAACCCTCAGGAAGCCAGAAGAGGGTCTCGAGACACCTCCTCCTCCTCCCCATCCTCCTCTTGGGTTTACACTGGTCTTCCTCCTCATCCTCATCCTCCTCCACCTCCTCCTCCTCCGCCTACTCCTCTTATTACTAATGCTCATAGCTGATTAGTATGTATTATATCAGTAGTACTACGACCAATGATTATCATCATCATCACCATAACATTAAAAAATGTGATAGTTCATATGAGTGAACATATCATCCGTAGCACTGTTGTGTGTATGACGAATACGGTTCTTCGAATTGTGTTTATCAAGAGTATTACTGATACGACTGATACTGTAACTAGTAGTAGTAGTAGTAGTAGTAGTAGTAGTAGTAGTAGTAGTAGTAGTAGTCGTAGTAGTAGTAGTAGTAGTAGTAGTAGTAGTTAGTAGTAGTAGTAGTAGTAGTAGTAGTAGCAGTAGTAGTAGTAGTAGTAGTAGTAGTAGTAGTAGTAGTAGTAGTAGTAGTAGTAGTAGTAGTAGTAGTAGTAGTAGTAGTACTACTACTACTACTACTACTACTAACTACTACTACTACTACTTACTACTGTAGTAGTAAGTACTAGTAAGTAGTAGTAGTAGTAGTAGTAGTAGTAGTAGTAGTAGTAGTAGTAGTAGTAGTAGTAGTAGTAGTAGTAGTAGTAGTAGTGGTGATAGCATTATGTTTTCATCACTAATAGTACTAATAGTGCTAGTAGTATTTCGTGACTGGCATTACTGGCACTAGTATTACAGTAGTGGTAGTAGTAGTGGTAATAAAAGAAGAATTAGTAGTAGCAGTAGTAGCATTGTATTAGTAGTGGTAGTAATAGTCTTCGTCGTATTGTT